AATCAAAATAATAAAAAAAAAAGAAAAAAAAAAAAAAAAAAAGAAAAAAAATAATTTTTTTAAAAAAAAAAAAAAAAAAAAATGAATGAATGAATCGGTTAAAGATTACAAACAAGGAACAAATAATTCCAATTTAAAAATTTGTTATTTGGATTAAATTGACATGTATATCACACCAGAAACCTATACACACACCAACAAACACACAAAGAGATTAATGTGTATTTAGGATTTTGGTTTTGCCAAAAAAAAAAACAAACCAAAATCCTGATTAAAATTGTCGCTCTAATTTTACTAAAATTACACTAAGTTGAAAAATTCAAACAGAAAAAAAACAAACAAACAAAACAAAATAGAAAAACCGCAAACAATTTTCGATCTAACCAAATTTTTGGTTGTATCCAGGCGGAAAAAAAACCATCATCATCAACAAAAATTCATCGAATTCATTTTAACATCTGTTTACACATTTTAAACACATCTAGTTTATACACGATTTGTTGTTGTTGTTGTTACATAGAAACCATGAAAACTAAATGGAAACAAAAATTTTTGGAACACACATACATCTTTCTCTATTTGATACAAATGATATCTTAATTTATTTGATTACCGTTTAGGGTACTTACGTATTAGACGCAAGGCGAAAGTTCTAAAAGAACTTAAATGCATTATATATTTTTTTTAAATCAAATATTTTTATCAGCAGTTAGGTTTTCCTACCCGGAAAACCTAACTGTCCTAACCTAAACTAACCTGCCTAGATTAAGTTTGATTAATTAAAAACCAAAGAATGTTCATCTGCCCTATTCTTTCTTTATATAAGTAGCAAGTTAGCAAAGAAGTGTTGTGCGAGCAACACTTCTATGCTAACTTGAATGGCCTTGCTTCTAATACGTAAGTACCCCGTTTAGTTTTATTCATTACATTACATATATTAGAGGATAAATAATAGTACCGAAAGGGGCAAATAAAAATCTGCTAGAATTGACTTTTTGTTTGTTATTGTTGTTGTTGTTTTTTTTTGTTCGGGTGTTCTGAAAAATTATTAACGTTATTTATTTCCTTTCTTTCATTCATTTTGACTCAAATGTCCTGTTTCTAATGTTGATTATCATTATTATTTTCTCCTATCGAATGTGATGAATATCGATGATGATGATGATCATCATCATCAATTGTGTTGATAAGCAATAAAAATTTTGTATTATTTTCAAACAATAACATTGTATCATTGTATAGTCAGGAAAAAGTCAGGATTTTTATTTTTTTTTTTGTTGTTGTTAAAAACTAATGAAGAAAAAAAAAATTATCATTAAAAACAATTGAATTTGATTGCTTGCAGATGCTATTGCTTGATGATGATGATCATTGTTTGCATCTTGCCTGAGCAAAAAAGAAAATATAAACATTCTCCATATAATACAAATAAGTAAAGGAGAAAAATCACCTTTATTTGCCCTTCTATCCTCGATCGATCGATCGATAAGCTGATTAACGGACATCGTAAATACAAATACACAATGATGATATAAAGAAAAATTTTCATTCAATCAATTAATTGTGTGTTTGTGTGTGTGTCTAATCAATATTGGATCGATATTGGATATTCCAAAATATTCAAATATGATGATGATGATGATGATGAATATCATTACATTTGAATTGTTATTGTATGCAAATATTTTGTGCTGATAATGAATGAATGAATTGAAAGATTTGAATATTTAAATTTTATTTATTTGTTAGTTTTTTTCTTTATTCAAATCTTATTTTCGGATCTCTCACCTTTTACGAGTATTGAATGAAATTGAAATATACAACAAAAAAAAGAAGCTAACATCATCTAATCAAATAAATGAAGAGAAAGCCTTGAGCTTAATATTCATCATCAAGATTTCATTTTATTTAATTCTTGATGAATATTAACTAAAAAATTCTTTCTCCTTTTCTCATGTTGTTGTTTATAGTGTTAATTTTTTTTGTTGTTAAGATAAATTGAAAAATTTATCATCAGGTACAACTGAATTACCTGATGAATCATTTCATCGTACTACACAGGCTAAATAATTTATGACCAAAATGTTTCGTTTGGTTTGGTTTTATACTAAAAATCAAAATACCGAATGTGTGTTTCTTATTCAATCAATGTTTTTTATTTTTCATCAATTAAGATCAATTCAACTATTTTTATATTTGGTTACATTCCTGGTTTAATTCATTCATTAAAGCTTAAATTCGTGAAAAAAGAAAGAAAGAAAAGATATTTTCATTTCTTTTTTTACTGTCAAAATGTTAACATCTTTTTTTTCGGTGTTCAAGTAATGCCGCCATCAAACACAAACACATAAAAATATATATTTTTCATTCATTCATTCATTACCAATCAAAAAAAAAAAAAAAAGGAATGAATGAATTCTAATCAAAAAAATTGCTATTCTGAATGCAATGTTTTTTTTTATTATTATTGGTCATCATCATCATCATTGGTCATTGGTGAATGGTGATCATCAACCTCATCATTATCAAAAAACAAAAAAAAAGGTTCATAAAGGCCAGGATTGACGAAAGGGATTGGCCATTCTTTGCATTTTTTTGAATTTGAAAATGTTTGAAAACAAACTATACGAAAATACCAATTTCATTTGGATTTTTTTTTCAATAATTTCAATATCACACAGACAAAAAATGAGAAATTTTTTGTTTGTTTGTTTGTTTGTATGTTTTCCTGAGAATATTTCGGAAATGAGAAAAAAAAATTTTCCAAATCAATTGGGTTGAAATTGACATTTATTTTCTTGTTTCCTTCGACTAACAAAATATCAATGTCACACATTGAACATATGATGTGATGATGTTCAATGTCACATCATGTTCTTCAACAGTAACAACAAAAATTGGCAACCATTAATGGAAATATATTCTTTTTTGAAAAACAGAAAAAAAATTTATAGGAAAAAAAAAATTTTCAAACATCATTTGTTTGCATTCAAAAAAAAAGAAATGATCATGGCCTTAACACTCTTATTATTGGTTGTCGTTAGAATCAATCAATTTCAAACAGATAGATTTTTTTCTTCTGAATGAAAAAGAGAAAAAATATTTTACCTTTCTTTTGTCAAATGTAAAAGCAATCAAAAATTTCTAATCGTAAACCCAAAAAAAAAGAAAACATCATATCAACACAGATTAAGGTGCTCCATAGCAATTGGCTTTGTCGGTGGCTTTTTTTAGATCATCAACAATTTTTTTTCGCCTTGAGATTTCAAGTATCAGATATCTTGTTTTGGTTTTTTTTCTGTCATTCTGATGATGATTATTCTGCTCAAATATAGAATGTAATAAAAGCAAAATGAATACAGACAGTTACCCTTGGGTACGATTCTACAATTTCAAAATCTAAATGATTTCAGTCATCGTCATTTTTGTTTTTGTTCTCAAAATCTTATCACATTTCATACAAGATGAGTCAAACATGTCACAATAGAATCAGAATGCAGAAAAAAAAGTAACAGATTTTCAAAACAACAACAACAAATCCGATCACGCAAAAAACAAACAAAAATTCACTTTCACAAAATATTTGGAAAATCTATCTATTTTCACTTTTTCTATTGTCGCATATTTTCTTTTCTTGTCTTTTATTTTTGACCCGATCATTTGACCTTTTTTGGCATTATGGTCGCTATGAAAATTGACGAGATTAATTTTTTTTCAAAAAAAAAATCGTCTACTCGTTTGTATCTAAGGTCAATGACAAATGAAAAACCTTTTCAAGAATACCACACAATCAATACCTTTTTTTCAAATACCTCGATATTAACAATTGATAATAGAAATTCTTGAAAATGAAAAAAAACAAAATAAAACATTTCAATTTACCTGTACTTGATTGCGATGAATTTGAATTGGCTGATTTATTCATCCATTCATATGTTGTTTTACTATTGTGATGATGATTATTCTGTGTCTGGCTATTATTTGTATTTGTATTATCATTATGATCATTTTCCATGCTTGTTATATTATTATTATTATTATTGATGACTACATTCGATGATTTTTGATGATGATGATGATGATGATGATGTTGATGATGTGTGTTACCATCATTGTCATCATCATCATCATTAATAATTGTTTGTGATTGTAAATCTTTGACTTGAATATCATTATTTTGTTCATCAATAACATTAATTGTTGTTGGATAGCCATTCATAACAGTATTAGTATTATTAGCCGAATTTGTTGTATTTGAATATAGATATGATGATGTTGTATCGGATCCAGATTTAATAAAACCAATACTTAAATCATTATTATTTGGCTGTAATGATGATCGATGATTAATAATCGGTGTCATTGATGAATGTATAGCATTATCCGTTCTATATTGATTGCCAATCGAATGAACTGCTGTTGAATTTAATAATAATGATGATTCATTACTATCACTTGAAACTGTTACACCTGAATCTGGACTTGAATTCATATGACCAAATGTTGTTGTAGGATAAATTGACGCACTGGGCGATTCTTCTGTTCCAACGCTTAATGGTGGAAATGAACCTCCACTACTAGTAGCTGATGTCATTCCCGTTGAACTTGGTGATGAAAAAAATTGATGTGCATAAAAATTGTTATAAAAATCAAAACTACCATTTGATGTACAATATGGATTATGTGGATAAACCTGACCAATTTGATTTGAATATGATGCCATTGGATGATAACTAAGTGGAGTATTTGCTGTTGCCGATTGAAAAGAATTTGCATTTGGTGTTGCAATAGTAGCAACATTTGACCAATCATTTGCGGTCGACATATCTGAATATGTTACATTATGGGAATTTTGATGAGGATGATGATGATGATGATGATGAGGATGATGGTGAGAATTATTTCGAGTAATTGTTTGAAGCCATGCTGATGATGACATCAAATGACTTGCTTGATTCTCACTGGCTGCTGTCATCATGATTGCTGCCGATAGACCACCATTGGTACCAGTGTTGTTGGTTGTTGTTGAATCATCATAAACTGGTGATGATATCGGTGTCATTACTAAAGTTGATGGTGCTGAATGATGATGATGATGGTGGTGGTGATTATATTGGACGTTTCCGGATGATGAACTAGCAAAACTATTTGGAACACTAATAGAATAATGAGGATGATGACGACTAATATAATCTGATTGTTGACATGAAATCATTGTTGAATCACCACCACCATCCGTATTTAAATGATGTAATGCAGATGCATTTGCTGTTGTTGTTGATGATGATGATGATGTTCCATTTGTCATCATATCTAAAATATTTGAATTTGAAGAAATTTTAAAATTATGATTATTGTCAGAATTGTTGAAATTATTCTGTACTGTTGATGAACGATCATTATAATCATTATTTGAATTTTTTGACAAGTCTTTATTTGGTGATAATAAATTTGGTTCAATTTTTATTGATAAATTTGTTGTTGCTGTTGAAGAAGCTTTATTAGCACTAATTGGTGATGACATTGATTCCTGTTTAATTGGAATCGATTCAGATTGTTGGGTATTTTGAAACATGATTTTATTTTCGTTGATAATTGATGATGATGATGATAATGGTTCCACAATCAAATTGTTTATCGTTGTTGTTGATAATAATAAACCATTACTATACACCACCATTTGTTTTTATTTATTAGATTTTTTCAAGAAAATTCAAAAAAATTAACAACACGATACACAAAAAACCAACACAAAATGATATGATTTGTTATTAATCAATCGATTAATTTAAAAAAAACAGTAAACAAACAAACAAACAAAAAAACCATACACACATTCAACGACAAGCATTCAATTATGAAAAAAAACATTGATTGAAATTGAATCAAGTTTATAAGTCGATGTGTGTGTGTGTGATACGTTTGTGATTGACAATCAACAAAATGAAAATGAAAAAGAAATTTTTTAAACAACATCAACAACAACAAAAATAAGATCTAAAAAAGCAAATTTTTTTTTTTTTTTTGGCTACTGCTGATGACAACAACAATATCATAACGCGTTTGGATTCAATATTGAATTCGATAACATGATTTTCGTTTTCTATCCATAACGTTTGCATATGTGTGTTTGTGTGTATGTTTTTGGTTGGTTAGTTGGTTATTTGGAATCAAAAAAAACAGCAACTAGCAAAAGAAGACCAAAAAAAAAAATCCTGAGTTTCACTTTTTTTTCCACCAACAGCAACAACCAAGCAGAAGAAAAAGTGAGAGAGAGAGAGAAGGAGAAAGAAGGAGAAAATGATCAACTAATGTAAACAGGTACATTAGGTTGGTTGGTTATCATTGGTTTCGTTTATATGATGGTATAAAAACAAAACCAAACAACAACAAAAAAAGAGGTGATAATTATTTTGAGGCAACCGAAATCAGAAAATTTTCAGCAACAGACAAAAAAAAAAATCCATTATCAATGGAAATACGGCAATAGAGCCTTTTGGTAATATCAAACACAACAAAAAAACAAAAAACATCAAACCAAAAATACTCCGCCTACATTTATAATGATCAACGCCTATGAATATTATTGTTAACAATGAAAAATAAGGCGTAAACAAATCGATGACAAGTACATCCCATTTTTGGTTGTCATGTGAGAGAGAGAGAGAAAGAGAATTCCAATGTGAGAAAAGTTAGGAAGAGAAAAATGATGCGCGTTTATTGCAATGATAACATAAATTGCCAATATGGATTTTATCCTGAATCTTTTATTTTATTTCATTTCATTTTTTGGTTTGTTTGATCCAATTCACATTATGAACATGATGATGATGATAATAATTCTGAATGAACGAATCAGAATAAAAAAAATGATTATTCCATTTAGAATTCAATGTAAAAAAAATTGCAATGAAAAACATATCGACTGAATGAGAAAAAAAAATAGACATTTTGTTTGTTTGATAAACAAACAAACAAAAATATTCAGTAAAATTCGTTATCAAATATTATTAGATGATGTGTAGGCTAGGAAAAAAAAAGAATATAAAAAATAATATATTTAGAGCAAACAACTTCTTTCAAATTTCAGCATCCAAATAATATAAAAACATATTGAAGATTTTACCAATATTATCATCATCATCATTATTATCATTGATCGATAGATATTAGATGCATCCAATTGATGATTGCTAATAGCAACAAACCGATCATAATGATGATGATGATGGTGATAATACATTAACAAAACGTTTAATTCTATGGGACACACACAAAAAAATTTACACAGCTCAATTTTTTGTGTGTGCGTTTGTGTTTCGTCAATGTTTTTTTTGTTTTGTTGTTGACGACAATGTCAACAACAACTATACTACCATATAATAATACGAATGGAAATAAAAGCAAGGCATTTTGTAAGCATCATACAGGAAGATGATGATGATGATATTTTTGGTGTTAATGTTGAAAGTTTACATCATCATGATGATGACGATGATCCTATGTTGATATTTATTGTAGTTATTTGTTGTTGTTGTTCATTTCATCAATAACCAACAATAACGAAAACAACAACAACAAAATTAAATTGCTTGTTTAGACATCAATTTGATGCTTACATAATGTATAAATTGAAAATATTTTTTTCGACAACGCCTATAGGATTTTTCTTCCTAACAAAATCAATATGAATTTTTCGAAATTTTCATAATTTTTCTTTGGAGAACAAAAAATATATAACGGAAAATCTTTCAAGTTTTGTGTACGAAGAAATCATGCATTTGATTAATAAGCCAAGAAGAATTTCGAAAGAATTTTCTATTTCTATTTTTTTTCAAATTACAAATGTTTTGAATACAAATTTCAAAAAGAAAATTTGAAAAAATTTTATGGCTATGTAATAGAATAGTTGCTTATGTTGTTAATGTTTTTTTTTTTTTTTTGAAAATTTGAGACTACGGTCATATACCTATTACATTACTTATGAACAACATTGAAGAATTGTCAAGTATCTTAATGACACACGAACGAACGATTGATATGACCGAAGACAAGTGTCTCATTTTCTTTTTTTTATTTATTTGTCACCAAACCAACAACAACAACAAAAAAAAGCCGAAAACTGATTGTTTTAAGGATATTTTTTTCTTCTGTTGAATTGATTCATATGCCGAAACAAGAGAAAAATTTTGCCGAAAAACATGACCAATAAAGTATTAAAATAATAATAATTATTATTATTATTTTCATCATCATTATCCACACAAAGAAACACACACACACAAAAATCATCAATTTACCGAAATACAAAAGTACAATTTGATTGATAATTCAATCAATTCATTCATTTCCTAAATGAATCCAACGTGAAAATGATGAATGTAATTTTTATTCGTCAATTAAATTTTTGTGTGTGTGTTTTTTCCAATCATTTGCTAATTCATCTTTACATTATTATCTAAAGTGTTTTTTTTAGTAGTTTTTATTCTCGGCTACAGTAATGGCCACCTTTTTTTCACGTGTTTACAATGTAAACATGGCTGTTTTTTTTTACCTGTTTTTTTATCACTTATTTTCGATCAATGTTTTCTTTTGATTGGTTGGCTTTTTTTCACCAGAAAACGAAAAGAAAACAGCAAAAGAATCAATCATTTTACAATACAGTGATGTATTTCTTTCGGTTCAAAGGAATCTAGCAGAATTAAAATTCTTAAATCTTCTATTTGACTGTTTGAACATGAACAACAAAAAAAAAGAAGTCGAAAAACTAGATTTAAATTGATCTTTTTTTCTTTTTTTTGTTGCAAAACATACATAAACACATAAACCGACAAGTCACATTTACCTGTGTTTGTCTGTGTGTTGTATGTTGGTCGGTATTCGGTGAATTTAGCATTGCATTTTTCCTTTATTTTTTTTCTCTGTGTTAAAAACAATAAACAGCACCTTAATTTTTTCAAAAAGAATTCTACCTGATAACCAAAAACAACAACAACTAAAACTAACATAGCAAACATTGAAGACCCGACCCCAAAAAAAGAATCAAAGAAAAAAAAGAAAAAAAAGTGCCGAACCAAAAGAAAAAATACGGTGTGTATGTTTAAACCTTGTTGTTGTTGTTGTTGAAAGCCTCAAGACAAATAATAATAAAAATGAAAGAAAAAAAGAAAGATATTGAGAAGATGGAAGATTGCCGCTCGATCCAAGATGATGATGATGATGATGATGACGACGAATAAGTCATCAAGTCGGCCCGACTGATTTTTCTTCGTTGTTGTTGATCTTTGTCTCGATTGACGGTATTGACTGTATGACCTCAGGTTTGACTGATTTCATAAAATGACGAATGACTGACTGACTGACTGACTGATTGATTGACGAAGTAGCTTTTTGATTTTTTTGTCATCAATATTTTTATTATTTTTAATTTGAAACGAAACGAAACGAAAAACCAACATGAGACAATATTCGGCGACAGGTGATGATCAATATCTTTCTTATTTTTTTTCTCTCTCTCTCTAGTAGTATCTTCTATTTTTTTCAATTTCTGGGTTGAATATTTGTTTTACCTGGAAAAAAAGTGAAATCAAGTCATCAAAGAATCTTATTTTTTGTTTTCAAAAAACAAAATATTAGGTCATTAGGTCGATTTGATGATGATGATGATGATTTTGAAAAACAAAAATTCCAAAAATCTAGTGACAAACCATAAGAATCTTATCGAATATTGTCATTATTTTTGGTACCCATCAATGATGATCAACAACGGATTAATAAGTTGAATCAACCCAAATATTAAACCAAAAAAAATTTCTTTCTTTTTCGTAAATTACATCATGATGATAATAATCATCATTTTTTTTTTGTCGAAACCATTAATTCTCAATGGATTAATAAAAACAATTACAATTATTATTTTCATGTTTTTTTTTGTTTTATCATTGTCATTTATTGGCAAAAAAAAAGACAAATCGAATCAACAACTACAAACGTAAAAATAAACGACAATAATAACAGAGAATAATCAACAACAACAAAATTCTTGTTTATTTTCATTTGAAATTATTCTCATCATCATTCAGTGAAGCAAACCAAAACCACGGTTACAAAATGGTGCTTAGTGGTTAAAGTTAACCAATGTAATAGTTTTTCAATCGAAAGAAAAATTTTCATCTAGGGAAATGTGTATGTGTGTTATGGATAAGAGAATTGGAA